GTCTATCCGTGGATGCTTTTTATTCCAAATAAAGGACGACAATTCACTATTTTATTTTGTAAAGAAGGTCCTGGTGAGGAACACTGGCACGCTCTGAAATAGATAAAGTAATTTGGGCAATATTGTCATTTTGATCACGTTGATTCTACCCCCCAAGTGTAGGGGAGGGACTTATGTTAAATAAGCCTCTCTACATCCTTCTCATAACAAAGTTATGAGAGAAAGTTTTACCAAGGTTTTTCTCATTACTTTAATATTTTGACTGTGCGAAGTGAAAAGTGACACAATGAGTGAATGTCAGACGAGTTCAAGTTGATTCATAAAAGATTATGCAATCATTTATTTACACAAMYTGAACAGATCATAAGTTACACCTGATTGTGGGTTTTCCTATAACAAGCTTCAGAGTTAAAATGAGGTAAAAAATTTGCGTCCGAATTTTAATTCACATTAAACTCAGATGACTCATATAGAACAGTAAACGTCAGCTCTGATGTTAACAACTAAACAATTTTACTGGCACTTTCAACTTAAGTTTTGGCAAATAAAGAACAAAGAAAAGGAAGAAAGTAAGGTTAGTAGGTTACTACTATACTTTTTCAAAGTGTGGTCAACTGGATCAGCACGTCCTTTCTGCACTTAGTTTCCACATGACACGTTGCTCCGAACACGTCAGCTTTACCTGGTGATGACTTCTTAAGGCACCCCAGGGTAGGAACTGTTTCACCTCCGATCATCCAGGGAACTTTTTATCAGCTCGCTTACTGGTCCTCGGCAAGTAAGTGTTTTCAGGTAACTTTCGTCTGTTTCAGTTCAAGCCAGAAAGATTCTAGCTGTCATCCGGTCCCTTCTTTTCAAAATAAAAATCTCCCCTCGGGAGGTAAAACACACTTAAGAGACGTGAGTCTCCGTGTGGACAGAAGGCGGCTTGCCTCTGTCCTGGCCGTCAGATCTCACCCTATTTAGCTTATGGGCGAGATCCGAAGCCAAGCTGGTTCTCCGGAGAGAAATCAGCCGGTCTCCCTGTTTGGCATTCAGGAAGAAGTGTCCGTCTCTCAAAGACGTCCGTTTTAGTAAAAGAGGCGGACGACTTTGGTTCCGCCCTCAGGCGTTAAGAGTGAGTCAGAGAAAGGAAAGAAGATAAGAGCTTTGCCAGCTGGCGCCAGTCAAGGATACATTCTGTAGTTGGTTTAACAGACATTTGATAATATCTTCTTTAGCTTTTCTTTCTGATAGACTCTAAGAGAAATCACTGTAAAACATTTATGATGATTAATTAACATTTCTTGTTTAAATAATCAGTCTGAAACTTTGGTACAGATAAATGAAAGATTTTCTCAAGAAAAACTCAATATTATATTACTGATGTTTCCAGTAAAATAACAGTGATTTATATAAAAACACAATGGAAACATGGTGATGATTTTCTCTGTGATTTTTATACCATTAATTAATCTTTTAGGCACGATAAAAGAGTAGAAGTGATTCTCCCTTTCTTTGTGACAGTCATTATTATGATTAACAAATGCATAAAC